AAATTTTAGTTTTTTTTTTTTTTTTTTTTTTTTTTTTTTTTTTTTTTTTTTTTGGTATTGGAACAGCATTATCTTTGTTTAGTCAAGCATCTCAATTGTGCTCTTATAAGAAACCTAGAAGGAAGAACTGGAGAGGAGTTCATCATTAGAGATGCAGCAACACCTACTTTTTAATTAGAAATATTCTCTTCATACTCTTTCTTAAAAAAAAGGACAAAGCCAAATGTCCTCTTTGTATTTGACTGGGGGAACTCAAGACCCCTCTCACAATTTCCCCCAGTGAACAGAGTTGATGCCTAGGTATTTAGTATCAGCAGAGGATGAGCCAGACATTTTCACAAATAGGCAGAAAGAACTGACAGATGCCCCGGCATAGAAAATGGGAAATTCCAAGGTGGCAAAAGAATGATGGGAGATCTCAGGGAGGGATGACATTCCCAATACATAAGATACAAAAATATGGTTTCATTATGCCCTTAACATCCTGCTCTATGATCTACTAGGGAAGTACTGAACTTCTGTCCCACAGGCTGGATGGGTGGGATCCGGTCCATCCACAGGTCAGATCTGGCAAGTGAGCTGAATCCAGCCATGTGCAATGGCACAGAGGGACAGCCTGGCTCTGATCCAGCCATGCAGGGTAAAGAGGGCATGGCCTGGCCTTGATCCAGCAGTGCAAGTGTGATCTGACCCTAACCTGGCCATGCAGGAAAGAACAGGGCATTGTGTTGTCTGCACAGGTGAGGGAGAGCATGGCCTGGCTCCAACCCGGCCACACAGGGAGAAAAGAGCTTGGCCCAGCCCCGTTCTGGCCAGATGGGGCGTGGGAATTTGGCAGTGGGGAGGAGTGGCAGTATTAATTGCCACTGCTCTACCACCACCAAGTTTCCTAAATTGTGGGGTGCCCTGCAGGCCAAATACATGACACCACAGGCTGGATTTGGCTCATGGACCAGAGGTTCAATCTACTACATTGACAGCTATGGCCTATCACTGGCCAAAAATATGGTGCCCAGAAAAACTGTAATAGTACCATGTACTTTTTTATATCAAAGATCTGGTAGACAGAGGCAGAACCTTTTAGAAGGAAAAGAACATCACATTTCTCCTGGGACTGGTTTAGGAAAACCTAAACATGGAGGAGAAAAGTAGTATGTTCAGCCACAGACAAAATTGATTTGCTATCAATCCTGTAAAGGGTACAAGGCAGTAACTGACATAATCTCTAAAACCATACCCTTATCAATGGACAAATAGCTGGCCACCCACTATCCAGGATATAAATGCAGATTAGGAGTATAATTACAAATTTGTAATTGACAACTCATCAGCCAGCTGGATAACTAATACAGCACAGCAGAGTTTATGTTATCTTATATCAACTCTATCTGACAACAATCCTGAAGATTACCATGGATTACCTACTCCTGAAATAAAGCACAATTTGCTTCCATTCCAATTTTAGAATTCCTATAAAATATCCCAAACTCTAGTTGGTCCTGGTACTGGTATTGCTGAAGCTACTTATTTTAACTGACCATTTTAACTTCTATTGCTCAGGATCAATTTGTGACTCAATCTGTTCTACTGGACATGCCCAAAGAGTTTAGTTTTGGGGCAGAATTAAAATACGTATTAAGAATATACTGCATCACAGCCATATCATCATCTATTTCAGGTTTCCATCAAGGATGCTTCTGGTCTTTGCTGAAGACCTGATACTATGGCCTGCCACAGATTTCATAGACATTCGGGCTGGAAGGGACCTCGGAAGATCATCGAGTCCAGACCCCTGCCCCAGGGGCAGGAAGTCAGCAGGGATCATAGGATCCCAGCAAGATAAAGATCCAGATGTCTTTTGAAGGCATTCAAAGTAGGTGCTTGAACCATCTCCAGCAGGAGTTTATTCCAAATCTTGGGGGCTTGGACAGTGAAGAAGTTCTTCCTTATGTCCAGCCTGAACCGGTCATAGTGGAGTTCAACCTTGTCATCCCTTGGGGCACTCTGGTGAACAGATGTTCCCCCAGATCCTGGTAAGCAACCCTGATGCACTTATAGGTGGCCACCAGATCACTCCTGAGCCTGCGCTTTTCCA